ATACTTAAATGATGTAAAAATGATATTAAAAAATTCGGGGCAAATTTGCCCCTATTTTGCATACGGATTAAGGGATAGTGTTAAAAATATAACATGTAGTTAAATATTAAAATTTTGCTTTTTTTTTAAATTATTTGATTTTGATCGGTTATTGACCGGTTATTTGACCGATTATTTTTGACCGTATGACCGCGAGCGACCGGTTAGCCGATAACCGATAATAACCGCCCGAGCCCATCCCTACTCGTGAGCGTGCCGTTTAGAATTTGGAATTTAAGATAAACCTAATATGTATAAATGGCACATCTCATGATTTGACTAATCGATGCATAAACATGACTTTACGGGGATTATTTCGCTAAACTAAAAGAAATAAAGGCGTCATTAAAGTTGTATTGGCTAAAAGCTCTTTGCAAGTAGTCTTACCAGTAATAATGCCATATCGACCTATACAGTATTTAATTTACATAAGCTGAACTAGCAAAACAATTTTTGATCAAAAATTTACAAGCAAAAATTTCGTTAATTATTGCTTTTTCCAAAATTATGTGATCCTTATTATTATCAATTTTTTTCTTCTGATTTGCGATTGCGATTTATAAAGCTGGTCAATTTGTCATAAATCTGACTCAGATTTGCCAGCTTTACATGCACAGTCACTAATCATATGTCATACAAATCTAAAACCAGTAAAGGTCCTGCTTTAATGTCGTACACAATTATTACCCCCTTAAAATTATTCCCAGATACGATATTCATTTACGTACTATCAAAGTTCATAAATGAGCTTGAAATTTTTTGAAGATATGGCTGAAGATTATAAACAACTTTATGAATCTAGGGATGATTATGATGTGATTATTTATGCTGGTGAAGAGCCCAATTCTGAAGAAATTCATGCTCATTCTTTAGTGCTTCGTACTAGGTCCGCTTATTTTCGTGGTGCTCTTTCCTCTCGTTGGGCAATAAAAGATAAAGATAATGGTTGTTTTATCTTTAAGAAGCCCAATATCTCTCCATCAGTTTTTGAACTTATCCTTAAGTAAGTGATAAATTAAATTAAAAATAAATTATTATAATAGTTTTTACGCAATATTAAAAAGAAAGTATAATACTATTTGTTTCATAAATAGATTTTTATATTGTGGGGAAATAGATATTAAAGATCAAGAAGGAGAGGCAATCTTAGAGCTTTTGTTTGCTTCGGATGAATTTGGCCTTACGAAACTTATTGACCATGTTCAACAATATTTCGTTGAAAATCACCAAGACTTTTTACGACAAGATCCTGCAAAAATGCTTCATGTTGTTGCTCGTCATGAAGCTCTTGATGAGATTAGAAAATATTCATTAGAAACCATTGGATCAAAACCTGAAATTATATTTGGTTCAAATAAGTACCTTTCACTTGACGAAGAAACTTTAATACTAATTCTTAAACATGATGGACTTGAGATGGAAGAAAGCGAAATTTGGGAACGATTAATCAAATGGGGAATTGCTCAAAATCCAGAACTTGAGAAATATGATGTGACTGAATTCAATCAGGATGACTTTAAACTATTGGAGAAAACATTACAAAGATGTATTCAATACATTCGATTTAATGGTATTAGCATGCCAGATTTTTATCATAAAGTATTGCCATATATGTCTATCCTTCCAAGTAACCTATTCAATGACATTTTGCGCTGTTACATGGTTCCAGGAGCAGTGCCTCTCTATAATGCACATCCTTCTAGATCTAAAATTGATTCGATTTTGATTAATAAATCCCATGCATTATACTTTGCAGGCTGGATTGATAAACAAAATAATCCTTATAAAAATACGCTTCCTTATAAGTTTATTCTTTTATTCCGTGGCAGCAGAGATGGCTTTCAAGACAATATATTTCATCAAAAATGTGATAATAAAGGTGCAACGATTTTCGTGGCGAAGATTCGAAATTCAAACCAACTTGTTGGTGGTTACACTCCAGTAGATTGGGATACAAGTGGCCAAAATAAGTATTCAACCGATAGCTTTTTCTTTGTACTAAATAATCTTAATGATTTATCAAATGTCCAATTAAGACGTATCTCATCTAGTTACGCTTCTTATGCAATATATTGTCATGGTAACAATGGACCAAATTTTGGTGATAGTACTTTATATATTAAGGGGAAAAATATATATTATAGTCACAACGGGTATTATCCTTCTATTAGCTTTTCAAATGGTTTACAAATTGAAGATTATGAAGTATTTCAAGTAATTAAAAAGTAAACTCGTTATCTACACTAGTCTCAGACATAATTTTTAGTCTATATTCATTCAGCAGGCTTCCAAACATAATAAATTAAATAATTATAGTCTATTAGTAATTATGTCAAATCATTTTATATATTTTCTTTATCATTTGCTTTTTATAATAAAGCGTTCTCTCGAAAATAAATAATTAGTATTTAAGTTCTCATTTCAATCGTAAACTTGAAAGCTTCAGTTTGATCGTTTATCTACATTGTAAATGATTAAATTGTACGGCTAAATACTTAGCACGTGCAAATGATACTAAAAGGTTTAAGAATGCCAACTTCACGAATTAATTGCGGAATCCAGATCAAAAGGAACGCTTAGACTTGGAGTTACAAAAGAGAAGATAAAGGAGGCATTATTGAAGCATTCAAGGTATTATAATATATATTTATCAATCTTAGCGATAAAAAGCAGCATTCAAGCATCAATTAAATCAGTACCCACTCTTTAATGTTATCATCCGCATTAATATCGAACGAGATAACTTTGCCATTAATAAATATATAGGTATCACCGAGTGGTTTGGTATACACTATTTCAAGACATTATATTTTTAGTAGTCCACACTAGTTTTTGGCATTGGAATATGTTCAATCAGACTGGAAAAATGAAAATTTCAGATTAGCAAGTCTAATTTATATTTGGGGCACTTGAATGAACCTACCTATTTTTATATGTTATTATTACAAATTATACGTTGCAAAATTTTATTGAGATGACACGTAAAAAGGTTCGTGGTATAATCCATTGATGAATCAGGCATAGTAAAAATAAAGTGCAAAACATCGAAATAATGCTAATTATGTTTAAACGATGTATATAGATCTATACAAGGGAAATTTTGTCTGAATTTCGCTTGCTGACGAAGTCGAACCTGATCGAAATCAATTTCCCGAAATTAAATCTTTTTAAGCTCTAGGTAATTGCTACTTCAGGTGCCCGATGTAGCAGATGGCAGCTTCAGGTGCCTGAATTGGCAGGTTGCAACTTCAAGCACAACAATTTCACTCTTACGTAATGAATTGTTTAATCGCAATAAAACCTGTTCCGAACCTAACTACACCCATGCATTAAAACCAATTGTTCATAAAGCTAGTTTCTAATGTTAATTACTGTAGCTACAATATATGGTCCATGTTTTAAATTATTTTCATTAATTAACTCTCTTAATCCATGATCTAAAATAAATTATTTACCATAATATAAAAAAAAATTATTTTTTATGAAAAAATAAAAATTTAGTTATCTCGATAAAGAGACGGTATACTTAATAAAATTTGCTTTTATAAATTATCATCGTATATGGTTGGTTATATATATTTCACCATTTTTTAATATAAATTCAGATTTATTTAGTTTAATTAAATTATTTTTATAATTTTGCCGTTCAGTAAAGATTTTCATTAGATTTGTGATGTGTCCTCAATAACTGTTAGTTTTAAATTATTATATCATATTTGTAATTAAAGTTGTGTTCCAAATTCTTGATTATTAAGTTACAGGGCCTTATATAAAATTTCCATATAACTAATTCCGATGGCAAAACTCCAGTGCAAAATATGATAAAATTCCATAAGCCCCACGGTTTCCTGCATTTAATGTAAATAATAATGAAAATTCTACAAATTTAAAGGTGCCATTTAGCGAAGAATAACGAAATATTTGTATAAAAACATACCAAAAATCTTCTAGACTAAAGAATAAATATGTTAATTGATTTCATAATTGTACATTTATTAGTATGTTGGCCTTGTCTGAAAAAATTATTTTATAATTAGATCATAAAAAAACATCATGAGTCTTGGTAGGGCATTGTAGAACAAAGAACAGACAAATTGACCAACATAGAATTCGAGGAAAGGCCATAAAAATTAATGAGGAAATAAAAAAATTGAAGCAAAAAAGATGATGCATTTATTTCTATTTATTTATTGATGTCAAATTATTGGTTTTTTTTGTTGTGTTTCCAATTCGGTGAAAGAGTAAGGACAGAAAAAATTTTTTAAAAAAGAAGAAACAAGGGTTCGGGCTCGCCTCAACGCGCGCATAAGTCATTGAAGAACTAAACAAAAATTAAAAAAATATTTTAATATAAGGCCATATAAATAAAATTATTCGTTTCTCATCAATATAAATAGTAAAAAGTGGCCCGGCCGCCCGGGATAAAAATTTATTTTTTTAAAAAAATTACCCTTTTCTAAAATATGATTGGTTAAAAAAAATGAAATATTTGTTTTTTTCACCCGGTAAAACATTTATAAATTTTTTTTCTCTTTCATAATATTTATATGACCCGGCCGCTGATGAAAAACGAATAATTTTATTTATGGCCTAATTTAACTTAAAATGGGGGTCGCTTAAAGCCAGGTCCATCACGAGATCTCCCGTTATGCACGACCAATCAAAATCTCCAATTTTTGTTT